CTTTCATCTCCCTGCATTACTGAGCTCTCTCTGTGTCGCGTAACAGTGGTGACAGAAAAAGGTACAAAAGGTGCTGACCGCCCACCTCTGTTATGACTGCAGTCGCCCTCGGTGAGCTGCTCCCTCTGGGCGATAATGACCCGTGCCTTTCCTACTGCTCACACGCTAATACATCTCTCTGTAACGGCTGCCAAATTCAGCTTCATTTCCATCAAGCGATGGAGTGAGCCCACATTGTGAGGAGTGCATGCTCAGCAGAGACGAGATGCAAAACCTTGTTCTGAATTAACTGTTTTCCTCTGAGCGTAGGTGCGTAAATGGTGGCGAATAGAGTGGATCTTCAACTTCCTGCACAAGTGAAGGACAGTTCAACACTCACAAAAAAGAGATGACATTTGTCAGTGAACCTTCAAATCAGAGATTTGCATATCTGAATACAAAGAGTCCCATCTGTGACTCTGCAGATGCAAAGTCAGTACTTTGCCGAACTCCCCCYTTTTTTATTTTGCTCCCAAATGTGTTTCTGAGGGAACATTGTCCCATTAGTCCATCCATCTGCATATTGATAGCCTTGAAGTCTTGACACTGCATATAGATCTGCACTGTCACAGGAAAGAATTAAGTAAACCATTTCTATCTTTACAACCTGCAGATCACAGGACGACATAACAACATTAACCTCTGGGCAAAACATTTTTTTCCTCCACTGAYGTGAAAAAGAAAGCGTTACRTCACACCAGTGCATGTTGAGAACCATAAATGAATAACAAATAAGGCTTGAATGTTATACTGTATGTAGGTAAGAACTCATGCAAAACCCAGCTGGACCAAAAATAAAGACTTTTATTCAGTCGTTGCTCTTGGCCCTAAATCAGGAAATAGAATCTCATTTTAAACACCTTCTTCAGGATCTGGCCCCGCCCACCTCAAAACATCACACTGGTGGGTGCAGTCTCCCTAATCACATGACCAGATCCTTGCACAAACTTTTTGCATACTGATGAGAAAATATTTGTGTAGTCAGTGTATTTAAGGTGTGTATTAACTAATTAACTAATTGAGTTAACCATGACATGTCACTCAAACCAGACTGTACCTCAACTAAATCACAGTTTAATCATAAAAATAGAGAACTAGGCAAAAAAATGAATCAAAATATATCTTAGTTAATCTAGAAAAAAAACGTTGTGTGATGCATTAAAAACCAGTAGTAAACAATAAATTTCCTTCAGACATTTCTCCTTTCTTGTTTTGTRTTAAGAGAAGTCATTCCTACTTCTTGCCCAGAAGTCTTAGGTTTGGTTTTATGGGCAAAATGTTAATGTTAAAATACTGTCTGAAAGTATTATCATTTTTTAAAGAAAATACCTGCACTGCATACACAGGTAACTCACACCCAATCAGACAATTACAGTATTTATTTGTTTATAATACGATCTCGTGTATAATACAACCCCCCWTTTTTAGCTTAAAAAGCATAAAAAATTTAATCCTTAAACTACCTCCAATTTCATACAGACTTCAAGATTTTTCAGCCTTTGCAGTCTTTATACATATCAGTAAAATGATCATTGGACTGTTCATTTTATTTTAACAACATATGTACTAAAAGTATTTTGACAACAAATATATATCAGCTGTAGCAGCATCATATGAATTCTGGGATTTTACACATAGTCCACCAGGAGGCGCCAACACAAAAGTCAGAGACTTCGCATGAGATTTGGGCCATCTTGTGGGGGAAAAGCAGATTACTTCCTACTCATGAGCGCCCCCTCTGGTGGGGAAACATTTTTTAAGGGATACAAACTTTTTCAGAACACTGGTAGGCGGCAGCCATTACAGACGAACATGTGTTTGTTGTTGTTCGAGGAGCGGCCCGGTCACACCTAATGTTATTAGTTCGTTATCATTACTTAGCTGCAGGACCACCCCCTTTTTTTCATATCATGTCGCCTGCTTGGATCTGYTATTATCTTGCTCTGAAGCATGGAGGAGTGTCACAGGTGAGCTGGTTTCAAATGCTTTTYAAGACGTGGTCTCATTTCCGGACTCGGGCATTTTGCCGATATTGCAGTTAAAATACATAAGTAAAAATATTTATCCGAGTATAATACTACCCCCCAACTTTATGGATGATTTTATGGATTAAATTTGACGTATTATACTTGAATAAATATGGTAGGTTACACATTTTACTTATGGTGTGAAAGCTCTCAGAGCTGTTCGCTTGCAGTCTCATCACTAAAGATGGATGTCAGTGTCATGTCTGAGTCAAACCTTTGTCTCTAGGTGGTCTTTGGTTGCCACAGTGACAAAATGTCCAGCTTCCAGTTTTTATTGCTAATTGGTAACCAACAAAACAGGGTGATTTCAAATAGAGTGACACAACCCTGGACCAAATCATCCTCAAAGTGGACAATTGCAGCAACTCTCTGCAGCCAATTACAACTCCCAGAGGTAGACTCAAAAGCAAGAAGCAAACACACAAAAACACGACGACGTGCACACATTTCCTACAGAGAGAAAATGAAAAATGTGTACACGGTGTATGCTTGCTTGATCATAAAAAAGTGATGCACTTGAATCTTTATATGCAATTTCAGAACACAAACATAACGCCTTGTATAGACCAAACAGCAGCAAAACAAAGCAGATTCTTTTTTGTGTTTCCTCGTGTTTTCAAGGTGCTGGAAAAAAAAAACTCTTCAACGATAACCTCCAACTGTCAGCTCTAATGTCTAACCTTTACCTGCTCAGAAAGACATCCAGGATCTGCAGCACAGTACAGAGGTGAAATGTGTGAAACAAATATAGGAGTAAAAGTGAAGTATAAATTGTTACTGGTGGGGTTTTTTTGTGTGTGTGTAAAGCAAAGCTCAGGTTGAGTTGGGTTTAGTGCACCAGGATATTTTTTCCAAATAGAGATCTTTTTTTTCCATTGACCAAAACTGAATGTCTGCTGTGTGAGTAATGACAGTTTTCAGTTATTTTGTATCTTATTTTGCATAATTTACCCAAAACCTTCAGCTACAATAATAATAATAAAAAAACAGGTTCAGAAACACAATGAGGCTCGCTTTTTATGTGTTAAATCTTCAAATAATTCAGTTTATTCTCATCATTTTCAACTTTAATCTAAAAAAACCAACATAACTTTTTATTAGTACATTTTGATTTGATATCCTGTTTGACAGTGCCAGTACAGAAAATCAATACTTTTTTTTAAAATTCATGACAAACTAAAAATACAAATGTACAAAGAACAGGAAGTACCATTGGATCGGTGTACCCCTGATGGTTAAAAACACTGTTATTCCCTTTTAAGCATCACATGCTTTCCCTAAATTGATTTTGTCATTGATGTTTTAAGTAAATGGAGCTTTTACAGCCTTACATTATTGTCAATAACATGTTCATATCCAGGTCATAAAGTCCTGATGTGGTTTTAAGGCTTTTAAAGGATTTTGATGATCTAAGGATCAATGAAACTGTTARCAGGTTCCACTAAGAAAACATGAGCATGAGAAAGAAGAATGTGTCTTTTTATTTTTAAAGCACATTTCAGTGACGGTTAAACTTCCTTACAGATTTACCTTCATTCTTTATGTATTTGTCTTATTTAAGATAAGGAAACGAGAAATAGCGATGTGATAAACACACAATTTCTACCTAAAAATCAATAAGAAAAGGAGAACATGAGGAAGAAAAAGAGGTGCATGTTGTTAAATGTAAGGGAAGCAGAAAAAACCCACTAAATTTATGTTGAACAAGACTCTATGACATGAGTAACAGAGTAAAAATGTTATTTATTTTAAGTCACACAAGCCTTGGGAATGCCTTTCCATTTTTAAGTATAAACCTCTCCTACAGATTTTCCCACTCTCTCCTGATCCCTGCAGAGGCGTCACATGTTCATTAAATGACTGCCAAAGGCTCGGCATCGAAATGATGCTTCTCCTGTGATTTGTGAGAAATGGTGAAAGTGGTGCTCTCTCTAAAATGCACAGAAAAACCAGGGTCTCTGCAGACATTGTTGTATTGATCTAAACCTTGTATTTGAGTCACAGCAGTGATCAATGATGGCAGAACAAGCCGGTCTGTGGGCTAAATCGAGGTAGATTTAACCCTGCACGATTCATTTTCTCCACCTATTCATAATTCTACTGTATAAAATCACTCCTCTGTCTTGAAGGAAGATGGCAACCTGAGTAATGTTCACATTCTGTCCAGACGGTAAAGTTGACTGCGTGCACTGAACAGTCTGAAGGACTCATTCTAAGGCARCAGATTTACATCCAAACGCTTGTCTGTGTGCTGAATCTACAGCTGTAACCGTCAGCAGAAACACGTACGCATGCTGACACAGGATATAACAAAATTAAAAAACATCAATGCCATCCCACCATCAATGTGAGGTCGATACAACAACAAATCAACCAGACGTTAGAAGACATGTGCCTATTTGTTGGATTGGGAGGAAACAAGGTCTAATCAGAGTGCAGGGCTGGATCTTACAAAATCAAATAAAAGCATTCAAGGAAGAGATTCAACCTTTATTCAATAAACTGAAAGTTAATTAAATAAAAATAAAATAAGTAGAAATAACTCTTGTATGAACATATTAGGTCTAATGACAAAGGGGAGGAAACAACAATGGACAGCAGGAGAGACGAGACAAAGAGTCACTTGAAGGAAATCCTTAATTAAATCTGCTCAGCTGACCCAACTCTCCTCATTAAAATGGATTTTAGACAACCTTTATATTATTTTGCTGAGAATAGTTTTCWGATCCAAAGGATGAGAAAGAGAAGAGACAAGGATTTCCAGTAAAGACGTACCCGATTACCCTCCCATGCCACGTTAAAGCAACAAATTATTTTAAAATCCAAACTGYAATATAGATCCTTTAAGCAACTGGAGATATTTTTACTTCCCAGAATGAACTCACTGATGGGTCGACAAATCAAGGAAAGCCGGCGTCAGTGCATAAAACTCACCCTTGAAGATCTTTAACGGACATAGAGATCTTGAGGTTGTGTCCCAGAACATGGAGGGCCGTCAGGATGTCTGCCCACTGGACCATCTCTCCCAGAGGTCCCCCCTTCAGCACCTTCGGGCTAAAAACATCCCCCGACTCCTCGGTTAGGAAGCCCACATGGACAAGGATCTGAAAGAAAAAGACAGTGCTCTTTTATTTTTTATTGCCTGGGAATATAGGCTAAATCTGACTCAATTGTCTGATCTTTGTCCAGAGTCCAAGTTAGTTCTGTTAGTGCCAGTTTGTGTTTCTCAGTTTATGTCTTATTACCAAACAGGTTCTGCTTTATCTTTTTCCTTGTTTGGCAGAAGTGATGGTTATTGTGACTTTTTCAGGGATCCAGATTATTTGGCTCAACTTTTAGCTCTCAAACAATTAATGCAGGTCAAATCAACGCCAATAATGGTCCAAAAAATTTACATCTGCAAAGTATTCTGATTGTTTTAAAGCTTATTAATCCAAATTGTTTTATGTTTGAGTATTTTCATTTTTGCCCAATTTGAATAAAGTTTGACCATTCCAAAATTAGAATTAAACCGTGCAAACATTTTTAATGACTTTGAGGATTAAAATCATTAAACTTTCAGACTCTTCAAAAAAGAAATGATGTCAACTGGAAATTAATTCTCTGAAATCCCCGAGTGAATTACCCCCCCCCCAAAAAAAATCCTATAGTATGGATTTTTTTTCTGCTCAACTCATTTCACATGTGCCTAAACAGATAACCACTGCAACACTTACTGTGGATTCAACGTGAAAATCTCTTCTGTTTTAAAATTTAACTTAGGACATATAAATGGTTTATTATGGTATGTATGTGGTACTTTTACACAATCTCATACCAACAAGCCAAAGTCCTGCCACTGAGTAATTAGTAAAACCCAGCGAGAATTGAGCAACATGTTACTTTTCACAGTGGATTAAACATAGCCTTGTCCAAACTCTCCTCTGCTGAGTAATCCTGATTAACTAACGCAGCATGAACTCCTCCAGCTGCTTCTGCTGCCAAACGGATCCCACAACTTTGACYGTGAAACATGCATAATGAGCTTAAGGCCAACTGAGAGGAATATGCCTGTACATGTGTGTCTTCCCAATCAATGCATGTGCATCCACGTGTCTGAGCTTAAACATGTCTGAAAACTTCCAGCAGCTTCCTAGAAATGCAACAAAACCTTCTCCTGGTTCACGCCTCGTTTTTGTAATTATGCCCCCGAGCACTGACGCTGACGTTAAGAGGGGTGAATGCAGGAAAACAAACGCACGCCGAACCTTAATATTTTTTGTGTTATCCCACCCGAAGGTTGTATTCCAGAATAAAAGTCTATCTGGWGTGTTGAGCTGAAAGACAGAAAACTGGTTTCATGAATGAGACTCTCCTTGAGCCCCATGGGCTCACCATGGTAACAGAGGCTAAACTCATCACCTGCTCCACACCAGGAGATGAGATCAGAGTTTAGGTTTAAACTGTCCGTAAGAAGCTCCATTTGTTCACAGATTCTTTTCCTAATAAAATCTGTTTTTACACTGTTGTGAATATGCCTGGTGTTGACATCAACAGTCTAAAAAAGAAGGCCATTTGATTAGTTTAAAAACTCTTTTCTGCACTCAGAGACTCCAAGTACACAACAAAATGTATTTAACGGCTAGAAAAAGGAGATTTTGCTCATGTTGTTTTTCACTTATGTTAGTGAGCTGTTGCTGTAGGTGACAAATTGCAAACGGCGCTCCAGAGGAAGTCGTTAAAGCGTCTCAAAGCGTGAGGGTTCTCAGTCTTTTTGCGGGGATTGCAAAGACTCACTCTGGTGTTGCTGGAATGTTAAAAAATAAAATAAAATATAATCTGAAATACTGAGGGCTTTTGGAACTGATTTGGAACTCTTCTCAATTCCTGTCAGAAAATGAGAGAAATCTGAGACAACGTTAGGAGAGTTTGACGACCAATAAAACAAAAACTGATCAGATGGAAAATAAATAAATAAATAAATGAGACAATTTGTGACTAAATAAAACTTTTCACCACATTGAATGTTGAGAAAAATGTTGCAATCCGATCACAGTTCTGTAATTCTGCAAACATATCGAATAAATCAACTATTCCCCAACAGCTGAAGTAAAATACAGGCATTRATGTGGTTTTAGGTTTGTTTAAAGGGGCAATATTATGTGTTTCTCAGACATATATTTGAATTCTGTACCATAATAAAGTAACTATGTCACCTTCAGTTGTTATTAAAATGTTATTTATATGTTTATATAGAATTAAACTTGACCTCATCGTATCTGTTTCTAAATGCCTTGAAATTGGCCTCTGTCTCTTTAAGAACCACCTTCTGCTTCTGTCCCATCCATTTCAGCATGGAGCCAGATGGGTGTGTGTGCTCTGTGATGAGGAAGCTCAGCTTGGAGACACAGCCCAGAGGAAGAGATGATCCCAAAAGGTGGTTCTAGTCCCAAATGGTCATTTTGGCTCCCCTGCCTGCTGCCTCAGGACACTACAGGATTTCTCCAACATGCATGAATGAKTCAAAGCAAGACTCTGGGCATGTTTTTGATGAGAGAATAACATTATAACATGATATAAAACTAAAAAAAGTCAGTTTTACATGATATTGCCCCCTTAATGTATAGTAGGGTTGCACAATACATCACAAATATATTGTCATTGCAATATGAGTGTGCACAATATCCATTTCGCAAAGGACTGCTTGGAGTGCAATAATTGCTGACTAATGTATTTGAAGAGCTTTGAAATTGTATTTTTCATGCTAATGCAATATTTAATCAGTAGKACAGAGTCTCACAGCAGCAAAAGCTCACACCAGACACATGACATTGCCAAAAGTGCTAAAGGTCACAAAGAAGGAGATTAACACCGAAAGCAAAAATATCGTCTGGCCCTGATTTAGAGTTAGATTTTTTTATTCATGGCCCTGCCTATTAATTTATCCTCCTCATTTATACTCACCATTTGTGAATCATAAACAAAAAAATTCAGCYAATAACACAATTTTGACATGACATCAAATTTTAACATGTTTTTAACAATCAGTTGCTTTCTAACATGACAGATTATTGCTTGTTGAGTCATGCTCTTGTCTCCTATTTACCAGTTTTATCCTTTTTCTGTGTTCATCAGCTCCTCTGGGAGCTGTCTGGCTCTTTAGCTGCTAAATGCCTCAATAAATCTTTGTAAATATGAAGGGAAACTGATATCAAGTGCTAATCAATTCAAGCAAGCTGCAATGCATTGATTTCATGTTGGGATTTGGAAAATGATCACAAGATGAAAACTTTTCATACCTTATTCTTGGTATCGTCAATATGTAAATTTAGTTTGTGTTTGATAGCAATCAGAAAAAAACAAGCTCTAAAGTCACTCCTGTCACCCAACGTGTAYAAAATGTGCACAAAACCCAGAACAATGATGTTCACGCAGCTGAGCCAAGACTCCAGCTGGCGTGCAAAATCCTCTGATTCAATAAACTTGCTCTATTAACTTCTGCTTCATAAAAAAAGGATAAGTGAAACTAAATTAGAGTTTAGGTGGCAGATGGCAAGAGTGMGAATACATGATGCTAATCCTTGGTTTGCTGTTGGCAGTGCTGTTGTTGGTTATAAGCTGTATCAAACACTATCAAACACAAAAAATGAAAAAAAGGGGAGGGGTTGAGTTTTACTCTGGCAGCAAAATAAAGAGCAACAAAGCAATATGAGGGAAATCACACAGGAGCATCTGAGTCGAGTGGCTGTAAACTGGATTATTTAAAACTGGCTTCCACACACAAATGAAAACTTAACGGGGAGAACGATGCTTTTGAAAAATCTGTCAACTAGCTCATGATTAAGTCTGAGGAGACGTGATTACGCTCTCTAGAAGGCAACAATTTTCTCTTTATCCTAACTGAATTAGAGTGAAATTCATTAAAAATGTCAGTCTAGCAATAAAAAAACAATGTTTCCATAGAGCAATTTACTGAAAGWCAGATGTGTAGGAAAACTCATACAACACAAGAAACTTTAGGAGAACTCCTCCCTCAGGACAGTTAGCACTCATCAGGAAGGGAAGAAATGTATGCAGTGGACTTCTGCTACTTCCAGTATGCTGATGGAATTTGAATTGTTTGTTTATGTGCATGTGTTTCACACTGACAGGCAGCAATGAACCGGAGTCCTGCGTGTTTACTCACAGAAAGCCCTAAAGCTCATCTCTGCTTTTAGATTCCTATGGGAGTTAAATGTAAAGACCCACCAATCCTCCTGAGATGTAAACAGAGGCAGAACTTTTCTCRCAACCTTACAACACCCTGCATGCTCACACCGGTGTTCTCATACCACCCATCCCATTCTGATTTTCCGCTTTAAAAGGAGACATGTCATCCTTTTAAATGCCTTTTTTAACATTTAGATCCTTCAGTTGGGGTTTACATAAAGTGGAACTGCAATGCTTTGGTCCGAATTCCTCCTTATTGTAACTCCACAAGCCCCTCTTTCACTACTTTTCTGAGGTGTGACTCAGATCAACTCATTTTGAGGCTGTCTCTTTAAATCCAAATGAAGCACTACCCCCCCCTCCAAATAAATAAATAAATAAATAAACAAAACTTCCAGAAAGGTTTATTCTAGCTTGACAGAGTGGTTTACAACTACATAGTGGTGCAAAAATGTTTTATTTTCAAATGAATTAAAATATGTCAACAAGGGAAGACTTGTCCATCCAGCCTTACATGATGGAGCCAGAGTCTAACCCACAACCAGAGGAGAAATAAAATAAAATGAACGGGTTGAAAAATATGACCTAAACAGAATATAAAGATACTGTATCTACACAGCACCAGAAGAGACAAAATTAAAMTTTTCTGCACTCCAAGTACTCAACAAAATCCATTTAACGGCTAAAAACATTGATTTTGCGTATGTCCCCTTTAAGAAGGTGTTTTTACAATATCCTCTCTTTTTCTCATGGAAAATCTGTGGAAAAGTACGTCTCCTGGCTCTGGTTTGCTGTTTTGGGATGTGTTTAGTTGAAGTCTTTTGCAAATCTTTGGCGGTTCACATGAAAACCAACGATCTGAAGTGGATCACGAGTTTGTGGTAGCGCTCAGGAGCTCCGTTTCGCTCCACCCATCACTAACAGGCTAACACCAGACAAATGCTAATGTATGTGTCAGCATCTGTTAGCACAGAACACCACACACACCTCCCCGTTTGTGTGTGTGTGACCCTGTACTTTCATGCACTGTGCCCCTTTAGAAGGTTGAGGAGAACCCAGGTGGCAGCACAAGCTGGTCCCGACATCCAGCAGCGCTCTGCCCTTAACTTCACCTTCTCCCTCGTCCTTCCTCCATGGCTCTGCACGTTAATTTACCCTCCTTATTTCTGCTCACATCTCTCCTCCTTGTTGTCATATTCTAAAAAAAACTGTTCCACTCCTCTTCCTCCCTCTTCTTCGCTTCTCTTTGCCTTTCCCATTAGTCTCAGACACTTTCTACACTTCATCAGTATGAGGTCAATTAACCCTCAAGAGGGCAGACACACAACGAAAGCAAATTATCAGTGTGGCATATGCTGACAAACACACTAAATGTGCGTGCTCGACGCATACCAAGAAGCTCYGAGATCTATCTGCTTTGTACCTCGCTTGCTGAGACACAAAAACTGACAACTGAGCCGTGAATGCACTGTAGGATATTAACAGGATAAGGTCAGCATCTTTGAAACTGCACTATCATCTCTTAAAAGCTACGGCTTAGCCAAGTATGTTCTCTCTGATGTCTGAGAAAGAAAAGAAAACAGCAATTTGTTTCACTAGAAAATGTTCAGCTTTAGTGTAATCGTTAAATGAAYCGACTCAAACCTTGATCAAGTTCCTGCTTTTACAGCTTTGGTCACCACAAAGCCTTATTTTTTGTAGACAAAAAGGAGCCATCTTACTCTGTCGAGTTTAGACAGGGACTGAAGGATCAAACGCATGGGTGCAAAATGATAAATTCTAAGTACAATATGGGAGAACAGTTTGTCACAAGTACAAATACACCAGTCTGTTACATACTTTGGAAAACCTCCTTTTTTCAGACGTTCTGAGCAATTATTGCTACACATTTATAAGGACCCAGTACTGTAAGAACAAAAYATTTGATTTTGGATGTTTTCATGTCAACCAAAAGCATTTTCCTTTAAGAAGATAACTGATTTCTTTGGAGTGAGGAGTCTCCAATTCAAATATCGCAGAATTATCTTAAAATAAAGAGATTTGCTCTAAAATCTAGTCCAAACCAGAGTTTTGAGTTTTTTCTCACAAGTTCCACCTTATTGTTTGCAATCTGGTCCTTTGAATTCAGCTCAAATTCAAAAACCAGGCTTCAAAACAGCAGGTGATAAAACACTTAGAAATAACACTTTCCACTTTAAGTACAGTTTGTGTGAAACATACTAAGGCATTCTTTTAGACAAATGTATCAAATCATGGTTTGTTTGTTGCTCAACAGTCTTCAATGTTTAGGGTTAGAATACGGTCTATAAAAGGAATTTCCCCTGCTGTCATTTGCAGGGAACACCAAACCTCCCCTTTTCCCCTCCCTTTAACTCCCTGATCTTTGTTCTCCTTCATGCATTTCTCTCTGCTTCACTAATTTATTCTTCCTCTGAATAAACACCTCTTTGAATCAAAAGGGAGGCGAACAAGGAGAGCCGAGTCAACAAAGCCCCGCTGGAATAGCAAAGAATGCACACTCAAGCAGAAAACAAAAGTTGCAATTTGAAGCAGATATTGTGTCAAAGACAAAATGAGGCGAGGGCAGAAGCAGAGTTAATTCACACCAGACGAAGGTTTTTTTTCTGGGGTCAGAGTTAATTAAAGTCAAACACTGGTTCTGTACAACAACATAAAGCTCACAGGCTTAGTTTAAAGTTTAAATAAAACAGTAAAAAAGTGGTGTTCTGTGGGGGTTTTAACATTTTGAAGGTTGCCAATGCAGCTACTGCCTAAAATTCCAGCTTACATCAGCTTTTTCTATAAAATCCAACTTTTATTGTTACTTATGTAGCAAAGTAAGGTAAGAAAATGTCCATGTTTTAATGCATAAACTGCAAAGGGAGTGTAAAGAGAAGGAAGGAAAGAAATAGGTGCTGCAGGTGGTTCATCATGATAAATACAAACCTTGGTTTGTTACACCCTAACAGCACTCTTAAAAAAGTCAGAACACTGAATAAAAATGGCTGAAACACACAGTCACCATGTGAAAAGTATATTATATGTCTGTAATGTTTTATGCAGGAGTTATGACAAATAAAAAAATACATAAATCCATTTTCTTTCATCTTGATCTAACGTAGAAGTCAACAAAGAGTTTAGATGTGTGTACTCTTCATTCTGGAGGGTTTTGAGAAAAAAAAACAGTCCTATAATATTTAGAAAAGGGTAAAAGAAGACAAAGATGGTCATGTTTTGATGTATAAAAGGTGTAACATCTGTAGTTTAGACAGCTCAAAAATTAAAAACTATTCTGAGGTAACTATTTGTAATCCATTTAAACTTTGAATGATGCTCCCAGAGTGAGGTTGAGCACTAAAGAAAACTGGGACGTACACACACACACACACTTATTTATTTTTACACTTTCAAAATCACTGTGCTAAACAGTTTTTGACAGCCAGCGTTAACTGTAATGAGCACCAGGTCAYCTGCTGTAGCGATAGGAGTCTCGAGCAGCCAAGAGGCCAGGATGTAGGACACCAAATCCTCTCAGAGCAGAACMGGGAAGGAGAACATCAATCATAGACACAGAGGACCACTTCCACCCATGTTAACTTGTTTTAGAAAGAGGGCAAAGAGAAATATTTTGGAAACAAGAGGCAGAGTGTATGCTTAAGCTGTCTTCTGGCATCCTCAGATTCATATACAGTATCAATAAATTCTGAGTCTAAATGTTAGGAGTTCCTTCAGTGCCGGGTGAGCAGGGAGGATCAGTGAGGGTTTTTTTCCATTTGGAAAAGTACATTGCTCCTTTAGCTGTATATTTTAAAGCAGGTCTTAATGAAAAAGCCTACATGCAGTCACATGGTCTCCAAGGCCCAGTTTCTCTCTCATCCCAGCAGCATATCACTCCCTTCTCCCCCACCATCAATCCTCTCCTAATCCATATTCCACAGTCCCATCCATCCCCCTCGTGTAGCACCTTTCTTGTCTCATTCTTCTCCCTGTGTTRCTGGCACATGCTTGGCGTCGCGTCATAATCCCAGTCATTCATCATCATCCCACCTTAGCTGCTCTCCTGCTTTCATTTCTTCTCTATAATTCATCCCCACATCAATATATCTTTACTCTCAAGCTGCCTCTTAGACATGAGTGACTACCAGTAGGAAGAAGTTGAGCGCATTTAGAACAGATTTAGCAGCTGGCAAAATGTTGTCTKTTTTATAAGCTACAGCAGTAAAGATCTGTTTGAAAGCAACAGAACAGGTTTCCCAACTGTTTTCTTCACAAAATGACCTCAAACTTGGCCGTCAACTAAAACAGCCTCTCTCCWCACTGGTGCAGTTTGACCACATTTAAACGGAGTTTTATGTAGCCATTATGTTATAGCCTATATTAATGTGAATATCTGTCAGGACAAAATGCAGAAGATTTTCACTGCTTAGCACAGTTTACAATGTGCAGTTTGCACAAAATATTTACYGTCTCCTGAGAGCTGCTGCTCTTTGCATTTTAGGGGAAGAGACGGGACAATTAGTAATCTGCTGCACGGCTGCCTTTACAMAAAGAAARAGGGTGAGTCAGAAAAAAATCTAATTTGTTATTAAAGTGATGAGTGTCAGACATTGTTATATCTTTTGAAAATGTRACAAATACATATCCAATCCTGCTGTTGTGCATTTGCATTTAGAATAAAAAAAGAATATTATGGCAGAGTGCGTCACATGCAGAAGTCTTCAGTGCATACATGTCAAGTTGTACGGATTGTAATTTACTTGGATTTTCCCTCATTTTGCAGATACGCAGATGTATAGAACAACCTCACAGATTTTTTCCAAGTTTTATGGAGTTTTTTTTTTCAAAAACTCAGCTTCAAATTTATTTAATATGTCAGAGCCTGTACGTTAAAAAATAATAAATAACATCAATTAACCATCTTCCAACATGCTCTGCTGCTAGAAAAAAGTTCCCACATCCTTTCTTTCGTCACCTTCGCCCCATGCCATTAATATGGATTTTTTGCGAAAATWACGGATTGTTGTGGCTCATTGTACAGGTAAATGTCTAAAGGAGTTGACATGTATGCCAGTGTAAACAGCCAAACTTCATCATAAATCATCACCTGATACAAAAATGTCAGCTGATTTATCAAAAAAAACCCCTCTGTTTTGGTCTTATTTTTAGTACTACCTGTTGTCTCAAAGTCCCTGKGAAAATTGTGCCTGATATTCTAACTTGATAATAATTTCTACTGCAGGCAACATATTGATTTCTGAAAACTCCACAGAACCTCATAAAAAGATGCTTTAGGTTTTCAGTATGCATATTGTTGTAACTAAATCAGTTGTTTCTCTCAAATTTTCCTTTAAGTTACCAATGTTAGAAGTGAAAACAAAAGAATAATCATTTTCACAAATGCCAACGAATTAGCAGATTTTKACAGGAATTTAAAAGCGACATTTAAAATAAAAATTCTGATGCCCTTGTTTTTTTTATACAGCAACACAAATGTCACACTGATGTGTGTAAAAAAAGGTTTGAGCAAGCACAGACACACTTTAGCTTCATTATTCTTTAGACAGCCTGAGACAAGGAACCAGCMGTTTCAGCGACCCTGCTACAAATTCTCCACACATCCTGTCACGAGCTCCTTACTTTCTTCTGGTCTCTCCATCGCTGCCCCAGCTTGACATCCAGCCGGTTGGCTGCTGTTGCCCACTGCTGAGCGAGGCGGCGGATTCTGCGCTTCATGAAGCTGAGGGACTCTTTTCCACTCCCGACCTGCTCCAGCAGGACAGAGAGGTCTGTGCGAAAAGCAGCCTGGAAGAATAAATGAAAAATAAAGTGAAACAAAAGATGAGRAACAGAAATGGAATAATATTAGCAGCTGTGAAGGAAGCTTGACTTTTGGCATTTTCTAGCTACTTGTTGAGTTGTATATTTTAGCCAAAAAAAGCAGTAGGAACATTGTTTTTTTAACCTATGAAGATAAATCTGAAAACTCTGTATTTTCTGTAAAAAGAAATAAACCTGACATACTGTACTTTGTCAGGCAGCTTCAACAATACATTAGAGAATTATTTCAGAGGAGAAAGTGACATTGTTCACTTGGAAGCTTTTGTTTCCCTCGTCACCGAAAAATATGGAAAAAAAGTCAACAACTTTGTGCATTTTTAACTAATGCCATAAACACTCAAGACTTTTCTCCCCTGAAAACAACTCTGCTCTGTTTGTGATAATTATTCAGTAATCCAATGTGCAGGGATTTCATTTTATTTGCATACTCTAAAGAAGTGAAGATGTTTTGAGCTCTTTGACACGATTCTGGCTAAAGAGCCACGCTCTGTTCATGTCCTGCACAACCAACAACCAAAACATGGTTGGATATTGTTGTGAGTTAATCATGCATTGTGAATGGGTTAGGGTTACAAACAGATTGACCATGACAATTGAACTGAGCAGTTATTTAATTAATTCATAGTAAAGACTATTTTATACATCTGAAATTCTCCAAGATATCCTTACAGGAAAAAAAGACCCTATTATCAATTGCTCTTACTGCATAGAGTAACCCTAATTACTCCAATACATAAAAAAACAGAATTGGTGATTGTCAAAATGAAAATAAAATGTATGTTTTCTTTTTTGAAGGTGACAGATGTATTGCATGATCTTTTGGATGACTCAGATTATGTGTTTGTGAATTAATTTATGCAGAAGGATGCTTGTGAACTGCTCTTTGAACTCAAATTCAGAGCAGAAAAACAAGGAGGAGGGAGAATAACGATGATGACGACCAAGCTGCATTAATTACAAGCTAACTGGCTCAAATGAAGGTTAACAATTATTCAGTCCTGAGGGCAGAATGCTCATCCTTCTGCAAGTCAACACCATCTTTAGAGGCACCGAATTATCTCTCTCGTTTTTTTAAACAATACAGAGAAACTTTGTGATTGATAACTTGATTATTTATGCTCAGGGTTTATGTAAATCTCTACAGAAACGCAGATTTATTTTTCTCAWGTTGATGAATGAGGGACATTTCTAGTCTGCAACTTCTGAGCAGATGGTTGTGTAGGTTTGAAAACTTTGTGGGCAAAAACTGAACGTTCACATAAATCGGTATAAATGGCAGCCTTCAGTCGAGTTGTGTGTAGGAGTTTCAGAATAAAATCACTGCAGCACAATCAGTAAAGTACATTTTATTCCTCTGATTTACTGTCGTTTTGAGACTGATGTGAAGTCTGTTCCACCCCCCCCCCCGTTACACTGCATATAGTAAAAACTGGAGAATTATACCATTGCAATTTTTACAGAAGAAAGTTTAAAATAAATAATATACAAAAAGAATGTGAATTCTCTGTCTTTTAGGACAGGTTCCCCAAAAGCAGACGCATAATAAATGCAATAAAACGTCAACTAATAGAACATTCCTACTTCTCATTACAGTAGTGCACATCACTATTAAAATCAGTTAATTTTATACTGTTTGCAGCTTTGATGTTGCTTGTTGTGTTTGCTGCTTTGCTGAGAAGCATAATCACTTGTGGTTATAATAATTGATGCTGACAACCTTCACCTGATACATAAAAGCATAATTGTCACGGTAAGTTTTATTTTGTTGTCCATACTTGGTAGGAATGTCCTTACTTGTCTCTTGGGGGACTTTGCCTGCTGTGTATGCTGGGTGGGGGGGCTGGTCTGGTTCCTCCAGGCCAGTGGGGGGCAGAACCACTCCACTTCACTCAGATAGACGAGGAAAGAACAGTCCGACCCATCAACACCATAAAAGGCGTAACAAGGATCCGACGTCCACCGGGCACGCATCCACTGGAGAACAAACAGAAACAAATAAGGTTTACGCCAGGAAATCATTGTGCAGCAACAACCACAACCTGGTTTTATTTATTTAGAAATTATTCATTTCATTAAAAACTAATAGCTTTATACAAGAGAAAATAAAAATATTCAAATCAAAGATCAAATAAAATGAAAGGCAGCAGAAAGAAGAAAAAATCTTATATCTGCCCCATTATCCCAAAAATACATTTAAACAATAGTAATTTACAAAAAAAAGTTAAATATAAATATCAACTCAAACAACAATTTGTATGGATTCACATTATGCTTTTCCATATTCCTTAAAAAAACCCCAAACTTTTGTCATTCTCTTAAATATGTAAAGAAATCTGTCATTTTTAACATCATCCTCCAGACCATTCCACAATCCTGTTCTCTGGATTAAAGTAGACTGCTCCTTCTAGCTGGTACAAAACCAAGGCTTCACAAGGCTTTTACATCAGACAGTAACAAGTTACTGTTACCTTGAGCTTAATATGTAGGGCTGGACTGGTAAATTCTAACAAAAAAACAAAACAAAAAAAAAAMCACCAATGCCACACCACTAGATGGCAATAACATCAACGTAAATAACACATTATAGGCAAAGGAAGAACATTGGCAACTGATGTAGCTCAGTTTTCTATCTTGACATTTATTATTTCAGTAGATAAATGACACATTCAACAGTGTCAGTGAAAACAAATCTATCCAGGACATTGATGATTTGATTTGTAATGACTTTAGTCTGAAGTACTTTGGAGTCCTTGGACTTGATAAAGCATTATACAAGTTCAGACCATTTACCATTTATATTGCACACAAGGATAGTGGTCATATACAAAGTTGTCAGGTTTATTAGTAAATGCAAAAACTGAGTTTTCAAAAATCCCTCAAAAAGCATTATGAGAGGAGCTATTTGAACATGTTGCTGTGCCCTCACCACACTTCATGCGTCCATCCTGGCACAACTCTTAGGATGTGTCAGGAAGAACCTGCATATTAAGGCTAGATAAGAACAATGGTTCTAGATTTCCACAAGTGTTTGTTTTCCTAATCTTCTCATGATCACGGTTGTAGCAAAAGTAGAAGACCAGCATGGCCAGTCCTCCAAATTCTTTGCAACCAGTCTACAGTGCACACAGGCCATGGATATGCTGCCACTGGGCTTCACTAACAAGCCCAATAAGCTACCAAACACAATGACCTACAGACGTTTTGCGAATGCTCAAAATTAGAGAGGACCTTTCAAGCCTTATGCATAATGGGGAGATCATTTTTTCCCTTCATATTCATATTATTAAWATATTTCAAAAAGAAACAACTTACATCTACTTTTCCAGGGCACTCTGGGAAGCGGCTGTCTCTCGGTACTTCACACTGGCTTGTTGTGCCATCTCTGACTGCTGGGGAAAAAAAGTATTTCTACTTTCAGCTAAAACACATAAATCAGTTTTAAATCACCATTTTCAGCAGAATGTGACACACAAAGACWCACTTCTAAGAGTAAAAATCTTCACTGCTCACATTTTATGACAGTGGGAGATAAAAAGTTGTAAAATTGCGATCTTTTAATATTTTTTGCTGCAGTTTTGTTGGTCTCCAGGTTTGCTGGTTTTGTTCACGGAAATCCGTCATCTCTAATATGAATAGTTATTCTCAACAAAGCTGCCTGTTCTAGCAGCAGCCACTGAGATTTGATCTTTCAGATTGTTGAACATCAAATGGTGCTTGTTAAAGCCTCTACTACATTCTATTTCTACTTATTTAAATCAGGTAATAAACTACAAATATTTGACAAAAAGCACCAGAAAACAATTTAAAAAATAAAATAAATAAACCGCGCTCATTGTAAATTTTCAGTCAAACAAAGACACTTTCTTCCTTCACAAAATCACTAACAGTGCTGAATGATTTGCGGCTCTGCAACAGATCTCTGCTGTTCACGAAGCAGCTCAGTCTGACTTCTGAAACTGCCAACTGTTACAAGAGTGATGCCAGCAAGTACGTCTGCTCTCTCAGGCCACGGTCACTGCATTAATTGCKCCACTGACTGAGTTAACTGCTCTGCTGATGCCAGTAGACTTATACTGAGATGGACTTTTACTGCAGCYACATCTTCCTCAGTGTTTTCTGTAATTTAACCCCCCCCTCCTCCATCTTTTCTTTCTCTCTCTGGACCAACAAGCTTCTCTTCTCTCAGACTCTGTCTGCCTCCATTTGCCTAATGAAAAGGAGACGTTTCTCCACAAAAAAATAAAATAAAATAAAATAAAATCTTTCCTGGGGCTTCTCTCCTGTGACTGAAAACACACACAGAGTCGCACACTGTCTGCAAATATGATTACAACAGCAACAATTGAAAATGCGGTCATTTAACTAGATAAAGGCATTACTGCCGTCCCTGCAAGCCATCACACAAAAGCATCGAGAGTTTTTCCCCTGCGCCTTCCGACWCTCCGTTTCCTCTCGCACACGCCCGACCGCGGGATGAATAAACTGTCGCTGAGCCGTACAATAATAAAGTCTGCCAGCAGGATTTCAATTCATTTGTGATTAGGGAGAGCAGCAATGTTTTCATTTTGCTGCGTGCCATTGTCCCCGTAGACGCAGCAGGGGGGAGAACAAAAGGAGATGTAATTTTCATTTACTCCCAAGTAAAGAGTTAGCCTCGAGAGAAACTGGAAGGGAGGGTGGGGGGATGGGTGGGGGTGGGGGCAAGGAGGAAAGATTGTTCAGTGTTATTTAGAATTTGATTAAAAAATGTGGTGCAACAAGATGAACACAACATGGCGTGGCTGCATGAAAACAAGAGAAAACTTTATTCTCTTATATTAACTACAAAACAAATTACAACTAAATCAGTCTTTAAAATGAAAGTTCTACTTTTAGACTAACATCCTRTCTGACAAGACAATTTTTGAAGATGATGTCATGAATAGGATGAGATGTCACACCTAGAGAATGTGTTGTGAATAACTCAGCTACTACATCCAGTTTTAAGCTAATTCAACCTGGAGAGACTCACACGAACAAAGACTGAATTAGCAGGTTTATTGACATGACTGACATTAGTTTGGTGCTCGGACCCCGTCAGAGGATGTGAACACTGAGGGATGCTGTAAGCTCAGATGAGCTGCTTAAGATGAAGAGTAGGAGTTTTTTTCTTCCTCCCCGGGGCCCGACACTGGTGGTGGAGGTCAAAGGAGAGGGAAGTCCTTGGAAGCCAGAAGAGGACAGGGGGAGGAGGGGAGGTGGTAGGTTGACATTCAGTTGGTGAGCAGGCGGAGCAATTGGAGAGGATGCTTTTATCCACTGACTGTCCAGTGGCGGATCTAGGATTTTTCTGTGTATGGGGTCATCAAGGGGCCACAATATTCAAAGAGGTGCCAAGTATTTATTCAACATCCTTGCACACAAATCGCTGTTTTTGGTATGGTATTATATATTATATATAGTTTACTAGTCACACTTTTAAACACATGTAATGTAATTTTAAAACAGCTTGCATTAAATTCTCCTTACCAATTTTACATGCATTTTACAGTACATAGATAAAAAAAAAACTCTYAAACACACAGCATGTGAGAGAATCCAGCCATCATTTGTGAGTTGGCAGACTTTTTCTGCAGGATTGTTTAAATTTTAAGAAAAGAAAAAGACCTTGGTTCATGCTGGATGCTTCTATTTGGCTCATTAGTGCCCCTAGTGTTTAGACATAGAACTGCACCCATCATATCACTCTTGGGCGAAGAACAGATGAGTGACAGGACGGGGCACTTCTGGGGCCCAATCAAATTTCAGCAGGGATCAATGCCCCTGTGGTCCCGCCCCTAGAACCGCCCCTGTGACTGTCACATGCTGATTGGATGGGCTTGTGGCGTGGCAATTGGATTGAGCAGGTGAGGTAGATTAGTCTTCCAGAGTTGAACTTTTGTCTAAACTCCATTAATATTTGCATCGTATATAATGTAGTTGTAATTGTTTCTGTGTTGGTTAAGATTTTTTAGCTGTGAAAACCATCGTAAATTTTACAAGATGCTCAAGTCTGTCGTTGGCTCCAGAGGAAAAAAATATGTATATATATTTAATTTGGCTCAACTTACCATTATGAGAACATTTTTTTTGATTGTTATTTATGTGAAAGGTTGGAAAACAGGCGTTTTGACCAGGGATCTGAAGTGATAAATGTCAGCAGAGTAGCCAGTCAYATTACATTGCACTGTTATGTGCTCTGTTCTTTTAGAACAACAGCAGCTAAATTTGGACCCGACAGAAGCTGACAACTGTGCACGAGTCCAGCTGTGCTGCATGTTGTAAACCACAGAAGATAAATGTTGCATTTTTACTCTCTTTTAAAGAGACTTTGCTTCCGTTGTTCTTTTAATACCAGTTCTTATATTATTGAGTGATAATGCTTGTGCATGTGTTTGTCTGTWGTAKTAGCAAAATAGCTTATCAATCATTCAACAGATTTGAGTGAAATTCAAGTTAATCATGCASCTAATTAAGATGGCGTGATTTCAATTACACTTATTCAACCTCAACAAACACAAAACTCTGATTTAACTTGGTCAGTTTTAGATTGTAAAGTAAATTTRGATGTGGTTGTAACAGAGATGTTCKTTTGATAAAATGTCTCATCTTTTCATGAATGATACTCATTTGCCTTCAATTTTTTTCTTTCTACATGAACTTTGTTTGACTTATTTACTTCTTCCCCGATCAAGCTTGATCCCGTCCATCCCTACCTCTTTCCATCATTTCCAAGGTTCAGCTGGTTGGTCTGGTTTTGAACTTATTTGAAGTTTTAGAATGTAATTCAGTTAAAACGTGTCCAGATGAGTTGCTGTGATTGTGTACTCTCAGGATAAAGAACAATGATACTGTACCTCTGCCCTGCATCATRCTGCTCTGAAGTATCTGCTCCACCCTGATGGCCATGTTGGAGACATTCTGAGCTATAGCTTGGATCTTCTCCACCAGGCCGGCTGGTTGAAACCTGCACTCGCACAACACAGCACAAACACAGAAACAGGTAAGTGTGGTTATTAAACGCCCCCTCCCTTTCTCCCAGAGAAACAAACCTCAATCACAATTCATTCCAGAGTCTTACACTCATGTTTACCCAAATAACTTGGACTTTAATATTCTACTTTTTTTCCCCATTGACTGTTTTCTTTCTCCCAGTTTCCTCTCCTACTTCGCTTTGTCAACCCTTCTTCATTCACGTTTCCACTGATGTAGAGTGTTAGTAGTGGGAGATGCAAATTGGTAGACACTTGGTTGGAGCGTGAAATAGAAATTGACCGGCACTTCCTCTTTAAGGTGAAATACTTCCTATTCACACAGTGGAAAGTGTGTGTAAATAAGTGTGTGCATATGTGTGTGTACAATTCAGTTTGCATCTTTTTTGTGTGTTCAAAGTAGTTCTGCATATTGTGCCAAGCCTGCATATTATACTGTGCATTGTATATGCATTTTTTTGTCAGTCTGCTGTGTTTAATTGTGTATATACATGTTTTTGTTTCACTGTGGTGTTTGATCAGCAACTGGTGTTAATTCATTAAAGGCAAGGCCCAAGTCATCAGTGTGTGTGCATTTGTGTAAACACATCTCCTCCTAAGGTGATCTAGTTAGGAAAAAAAAATCTTCCTAGATGATGCTCAAAAATCAGATTTTCAGCTCATCATAGTGACTTAACTTTTTTAATCCTTCAGACACCAGGACCTTACGAAACTTAAATGTATTTTAAAAGGAGACATATCATGCTTTTAAATCCTTCTTTTCTGCATTTAAATCATTCAGTCGGGGTCTATATAAAGTGAAACTGCATTGCTTTGGTCTGAATTCTTCCGTATTGTAACTCCACAAGCCCCACCCCTTTTATGAGATGTGCAGATCAACTCTTTTTGAGGCTGTCTCTTTAACTACAGACAAGGTGCTTCAGGCCCCGCCCCCTCCAGCTTCCAGATCATTCCACTCCAGTTTGACATAGAGTTTTATGATTATAGCAGCGCAGAAACTTTATATTTACAAATTAATTAAAAGATGTCAACAAAGRAAAGACTTGTCCATCCAGYCTTACATGTTGGAGTCTGACCTTGWGGCTCTAAGTTGAACCTGTGACCTCTCCAGGGTGTAACYCACTTCTTGCAAGCTGACCAATAGAGATAAGTACAGATTCCTCCATAAACCAGACAGGAAATAGCAGGTAAAGCAAATGAAATGATATCAAACTTTGAGGCTCTTTATTTCATGTAAAAGCATGTCTGGACAAAACAAAATAAAATAAAATAAAATAAAATAAAATAAAATAAAAAACATGCTTGTCCTTTGTGGACTGCAGAAGAGATGCCCTCCCACTGGAAAAAGAAAAAAAAAGCAATTAATTTTTACTCGGAGTAAGTTTTTAATGACTTGCGTTTTACACTAACCTGAGTTGTTGTTTTTATACTTGAGTGCATTATTTTTGTTCTTTTTCTAGCTGTCTCGAAGGTGGCCTTGATTGTGCGACTTGGCCTCTCCAGAGTGTCAACCTCTAATCTCAAATTTATGGTCTGCTAAAGTGTAAACTCATCCCCAGAGATGAACACACAGGCAGCAAGAAAAAAAGAGGCAGTTACAGAGAGGAAATGGATGAAAAGACAGAGATTTGAGCTGCACAATGGGATTTAAATGGGGCAAAAACATGAGAGAGAAACATACACTTGGAGAGTTAATCGGAATGGRAACTGGCAGAAAATAAAGGGAAGCAGATCAACCAGCAAACAGAAGAGTCCGTGGGGGACTTTTGTTTTAGGAGCGACCATAAAATGAACAGATCCTGCATTCTGTTGTGTGAACGCCAACAGAACAACTTGAGTGAAACATTAAATGATGATTAGGATCAAAGAAATACAAGATTATGTATATTTGATGACCTGCATGCTTCTTGCAGTGAAGCTCTCTTGCTTTTGATGCATGTAGACAGTTGGCTCTTTTATAAATGAGGGTAACAAAACAGAAATAAAGAAGAGCAAAGAGAAAACAAAATGGCAGAATGTCTGGAAAAAAAACAGCAAGAAATCCACTGATAGATGTCGCAGAAAGTGGAACAGCGAGGAGAAAAAAAAAATCAATGTTAACTTGGGTTCGACATTCTTAAGATACAAATAAGGATGTGTTTTCATGCTCTCGTTTTTCTTACTGCCCCTCCTGTTTGATGGATTCTTCCTCTAAAGGAAAGGGAGAGGAGAGCTCCAGCAGCATACCATCGGACAGAGCTATCAGCGTAAGAAATGTGCACAAAGAGGAATCAAAATGTGGGTTACTGTGTGTGCTGACTCATTCAACCCAAAGTCACTGACATCAGCCGCTGCAGCAATTAATCACACAGTCAGACAATTTAGCAAATACCAGCCTATTCTCATTTCCTCTGTGAAATGTTTATGCTTTGAACGGTGAGCATAAAACGAACGCGTTTGAAAAAGTCTTTTTACTTTTAATTTTCCAAACACTTGTCAAGGGCTCAACTACGAGCACCTTTTACTTTAGCTTAAAGTCCACTTCAGTTCTAAAGCTAACTGGGTTCAGAGGTGAGCCCTGTTTTTAGAGGCTTGTCAAGGAGTGTTCAAAACTATGAGAAAAAGATCATTTAGTGAGCAGAAGGTTTTTGATATGCATAAAGGGTTGTTGGCCGTAATAATGCTCCTGTCTCAAGGGAAAATAATAATTAAAATATAAAAAAATACCAAAAAATTATGTGAGAGTCTCTGATCCAGAGAGAGGAGTGGAGAACGGCTACTTTCGACTCAGTGGGGAGCAGTTTGATGTCACACTGCAAATTTCAAACAACATTAACTCCGACCTTGRGAAGTTGAAGGCTGTGCTCCTCGGCTTTGCTTAATGTTTTATCCACGATTTGCTTGACAACAAAATTGTAGCTGGGTGTTGCATGCATAACAATGGGTTTCAAGGCTTTAAACAAACTACAAACAAACTGTGATGTCAACTCACAACCTATATAACAGACCACACAGGGGTTTTAAAGACTGTAGGTTTAGATCTGCATATTCATGCTGCAGAGATTAACTTCAAATTTGTGCCAATCATGTCTTTTATAATGAATTCGGCTCAGTGCCTCGATCCTGTGAACCGATTGTTTTATGTTAGTAATCTCAAAGGAACRAAAACTGAAAAGGGAAGGATTCTGTTCTTCTGCTATAAGCCCACACTGCAAAAAAATGTCCATCTAACCAAGTCTTCMAATCTGAGGTCCAGCCAAAAAGTATTTTAATCTTGTTTTGAAACTGATAMACAAAGCAAGATGTGTCAGATTATTAAGCTTGCTAACCTGGATTATTTTTTTTCTTATTTCAATAAGTCTTACCAAAAAGCACAACTGTCTTACTGCACTGGCAGATTATTTCACTTAAAACCATCAATGTACCGCCCACAATACAGTCCCAGTTTKTGGTTACTTCCTCCTGCTTCATAGCCTACCAGGGACCTTGAATTTGCATAATATGCTGTTCAAACAAATCAATTGGTTGTCTTCTTTYGATTGACACCTGTTTTGATCAACTGGGTTCATCTATAGACTCTTCAGAGCACAAAATGTGTGGCAAGYCCCTCATGTCCCACCTGTCTGYGKTACATGTGATTGATTGACTAGAATCRGCCAATCAGCTMTGAGCTTCATTCTGACACAACTGTGTGGCCAATCARGTTACCTTTTATTCAATA